CCCGGGAGGGTGCCACGCCCCCCGCAGGGGTGACACAGTGACACCCCCGGCCGGGGCCCCCGGGGGGCTGGGGGGGGGTTGGGCAGCCATTGCTGTCACCATGGCAACGTTGCCGCTGCCCCTCCCCCACCCGCTCCGTGGGGGGCCGGGGGGGGGAGGGGACACAGCAGGGGGGACCCGGGGCCGGGGGCACCCGAGGGGGTGACAGTGGGGGGTGGGGCTGTCACCGTGTCACACACAGCGAGTGTCACACGGTGTCACCTCCTGTGCCCGTGTCACCTGTGTGTCAGTGTCACCCCCCTGTGCCGGTGCCACCTCCCTGTGTCGTTGTCACCCCCCTGTGACAGTGTCACCTCCTTGTGCCAATGTCACCCCCTTGTGCCAGTGTCACCTCCCTGTGCCGGTGTGACAGCGTGTGACAGGTGTGGTGACACCTGCGCTGCCACACATCGTCCTTGTCACGCTGTGTCACACGATGTCACACGCGTGGTCATGGTGACAGCCACGGTGTCACACAGTGTCACACGGTGTCACACACACAATCACAGTGTCACGGTGTCTGTCACAGTGTCACACTCATGGTGTCACACGGTGTCACACACACCGTGACAGTGTCGCTGACATTGCCAGGGTGTTGTCCCCAAGGGAGTGACAATCTCCAGTCCCGGTGTCCCCAGGGAGGTGACACTCAGTGTCCCTGAGGGTCCCCAGAGAGGTGACAATGTCCAATCCTGGCGTCCCCAGGGAGGTGACACTCAGTGGTTCACAGTGTCCATGGGGAGGTGACACTCGGCGTCCCCAGGGAGGTGACAATCACCAGTCCCGGTGTCCCCATAGAAGTGACACTCGGTGTCCCCAGGGAGGTGACAATCTCCAATCTCTCTGTCCCCAGAGGTGACAATCGCCAGTCTCAGTGTTCCCAGCGTGGTGACACTCATTGTCCCCAGGGATGTGACAACAGCCAGTCTTGGTGTCCCCAAGGGGGTGACACTTGGTGTCCTCAGGCACGTAACAGTCACCAGTCCTGGTGTCCCCAGGGAGGTGACACTCAGAGGTTCACAGTGTCCATGGGGAGGTGACACTCGGCGTCCCCAGGGAGGTGACAATCTCCAATCTCTCTGTCCCCAAGGAGGTGACACTCGGTGTCCCTGGGGATGTGACAATCACCAGTCCCAGTGTCCCCAAGGAGGTGACACTCAGAGGTTCACAGTGTCCCTGGGGAGGTGACAATCTCCAATCTCTCTGTCCCCAGAGAGGTGACAATCGGTGTCCATGGGGAGGTGACAATTGCCAGTCGTGGTGTCTCCCGGGAGGTGACAATGGCCAGTCGTGGTGTCCCCAGAGAAGTGACACTCAGTGTCGCCAGGGAGGTGACAACGGCCGGTCCCGCTGTCCCCAGGGTTGTCCCAGCCGCTGTCCCCGACGTCCCCGAGGGTGTCCCCGCTGTCCCCGGGGATGTCCCAGCCGCTGTCCCCGAGGGTGTCCCCGCTGTCCTCGGGTCCCCACCACCAGAGCTGCAGCCGGATGTCCCCTCCCGGGGCCGGCCCCTCCTCGGTGCCCTCGCTGTCACCGTCGCTGTCCCACGGCGCCGGGAACAGGCGCTGGCCCGAGGCCGTGGCCAGCAGCGGCAGCGCGGGGTGCAGGCTGGGAACGGGAAATTCGGGGCGTTTGGGGGGAAATTCGGGGAAATTCGGGAAATTTGGGGGATTTGGGGGAATTTTGGGTGAAAATTCGGGGAAATTTGGGGAAGTTTCGGTGAAAATTTGGGGGTTTGGGGTGGAAATTTGGGGGAATCTGGGTGAAAATTCGGGGAAATTTCGGTGAAAATTTGGGGGTTTGGGGTGGAAATTTGGGTGAAAATTTGGGGAAATTTCGGTGAAAGTTTAGGGGTTTTGGGGTGGAAATTTGGGGGAATCTGGGCGAAAATTCGGGGAAATTTCGGAGAAAATTTGGGGGCTTGGGGTGGAAATTTGGGTGAAAATTTGGGGAAATTTCGGTGAAAGTTTAGGGGTTTTGGGGTGGAAATTTGGGGGAATCTGCGTGAAAATTCGGGTGAAAATTTGGGGATTTGGGGTGGAAATTTTGGGGTGGAAATTTTGGGGACTTGGGGTGGAAGCTGAAGGAGACAATTTGGGGGATTTTGGGGGGGATTTGGGGTGGAAATTTGGGTGAAAATTTGAAGGATTTGGGGGTGGCCCCAGCTATTTTTGGTGGAGGTTCCCCAATTCCTGGGGCCTGGGGGGTCTCAGGTGTTTGGGGTGATCCCAAATATTTTTGGGGGGCAAATCCCAGATTTTTGGGGTAATCACAGGTATTGAGACATGGGGACATCCTGTGT